AGGAATCTGAGACTAGCATTTTTTTTTGAATGCTGAAAGCCCATTTGATCACTTTCATCCATGTAAGGTCATATATACCTCCATCCGATGGAGTAGTGGACTGAGACAAGTGTCAATTATCTTACCCGTTCTCGGGAGGAGAAACCCCCCCCCCCCCGAGAATGGGTCGCGAAATTTTTGAAACTTACTTAAATGAGTTATGAAATTGTGCAAGTAATTTGTTTATACTTGTAAGTGACTGAAATAATTCTCAAAAGTTTTTATAAATTCAATTTTAGTCCTGTAAAAAAATTTTTTGGGGTCCGGGCTAGGGGTCCGCTAAAGCTTTGAGAAGCTTACCGAAAAAAATTTTCTGAGTGCGTGGCGAACGCCAAGCACCTTCAGAAAATTTTTTTGCCCTCCTCCCCTACCCCGCGAACGGAAATCCTGGTTACGCCACTGTGTCTATCCATAGCAAATGTTCCACATAGTGCAAAAAGGAGTGGAATTAGATGAGCTATTGGTTTAGTCTAAATATCTTGCGCAAAAATGCTAAAAATCCATAACTATCTATATCAATATTTTTGTTCGAAACAAAATTAAAATGTCGACTTAGAAAAGTCGAAAATCATAACTCCTAGTAGAAACACCTAGTCACTATGACCTCATCACATTGGAAAAGTGCAAGTGTGAAACTATAAATAAAAATAATATTGGAATTTCTTGTTTCTAGCATTTCTAGAGCCTGATAATCAAAAAACTGCAATTTTAGAGTTTTTCTTTCTCAGCTTGTATCACTGTGATATGAAATAAAGAATTCTTGCTTTGAACACTATTAGAATGCGCACGATCTCCTTTTTCTACGCTTCATTTGTTTGGGCGAATACACTAAAAGGACAGATAGAAAATTTTTCTGCTTGCCCAAATTTTGGAGCAAGACTTATGGATCACCCTATATCATGTTAGGGTGAATGGGGAAAAATGGAACATCTAGAGAATAACAGTAGATTTCTCAAGAAAAAAGGTCATTGAACATTCCAATTTTGAAGGATGTTAGAACACCATGTGCACCCTATATCATTGAAAAGGGATTCCAGCTTTTGTGACATTCGGATCAAACTGCATTTTCTCGTCAAAGCACGCTCCAGGCCGAGCATACCCGATCACAACAACGAAAAAGTATTGAGAAATCACATGTTCTTAGAAAAAGGCCAGTTTTCAGGATGTATAAAAAATGCAAAAAACACCAACAAACAAATTTAGAGCATTACATTTTTTGAGGCTGAAATGCTCGCAGAAGCTAAATCCAGATCTATTGCTAAGCAGCATCATGCAAACAAAATAATTCCAAGCTACTCTGAGTGTTGCAAATTCTGCAAAAACTGGTAGCTGCTCAAAATTGTTGTTGTCTGCGCTTGAAGCCCAACACCATTTATGCGAGTTTAAGTTGATAGTCAAACTAAACAGCAGATGTGCACACGCATTAGCGCTTCAGTAACCATGATGCCGTAATTGCTCTTACTTTCGCAAACAGAAATATGGTAAAATGCATAGAAAGAAAAACTAGCATGATATTCGAAGAATTTTATCGTATTTTGTACCCAGTTCTAGCTGTTATGCAATTCAGGGTGCAGCAGCATTAGGATATGAATAGCTACTGAATAATGACAATAGCTGTCATACAATAGCTATGGAACAATCCGTGAAGCACTGGATGAAATAATTGCTTTTCTTTCCAGCTGTAAATAAGTGGAGCACACTTTTAGCATTTGTATATCCTGCTTCTTCTATCAGGGTGTCCCAGAATTATTTTAACGTTTTCACTTTCTCCCGTAATAACTCACATTCTTCTTGTTCCTCAAATAGGTTTGGCGACACCATTTGACAGAGCAAAGCAAGCTTTACAAGAAAGCACCCACTTTGCTCAAAGTTTCTTTTACATAAGGTTCGAAGCTAAAGCTAATGTAAGAAGATTTGAACGCTAAGTCCAGAAATTCTATCTTCGTTAAAAAAATTTCTACGAACTTCCTATGGTTAAGGTATGCTCTCCTCTATTCCTCTAGTATTCATCTATAAATCTGCTTATTTTTCGCATGACTAGAATTTGAGAAAAAGTGATTTTCGTGTTTGTGCCAAAGCTGCACTGAGCTGCTCCCACATAGGTAATTAAAAATATAAACCTTTGGAACTACAGCCACATCTTGACTTCTTATAGGCAAGAATGTTTGAGAGATATCATAAGCGCTGGTACTAACGAGTTGGAGAGACGAATTTTAGAAGAACCTTGGCACTTGCAATTGGCAAAGAATAAGATCACTCACGTTAAAAGAATGGATCAGTTTGGTGGGTGCCGCATATTGTAATAATATGAAAGGCAAATAAATCAAAATCATAAGCGCAAGTTTCAAAAAGACAACTTGTGCGTTTTTTATCCTAATTGTTTGAGAGATCAGACTGTTAGATCAGAGTCTACCACTTCATTGGACCTTGGTTCAAATTATTGCCGTTCTCTGTTTGGTTTTCTTCTAACACTTTCATGCCTCACGCGTTAGTTTGGGTCTGGTTCCATCTTATCACCTCAGTTATGCTTGGGCTAGCTTGTTTGGGCTTGAGACTTTTGCATTGTGCAACTTCTATCGGAGTTCTGTTCTCTCCCCAGAGTTTTGGTTGGGCGAGTTTATCAATATTACTATCAATACACCTGCTTCCAACATATACAATTGCTTATGTTGAGTAAGAGCATTTTTTGCTAAGAGCAGGGGGCATGAGACAGACTCCATTGAACTTCTATACCTGTGATGACTTCATATATGTCTAAACAAGCTCACTCCCTTTCCATTCCCAGAAAGATTTTGCGGACTGGACTTGAACTGATTCAGTGGGGAGTTTGCCTTTTTGTTTTTTTTTTGTTGTTGGTTGTTTGGTGTGATGCTTCGTTCTTCTGTTGTATGGGCGCGCCTTGTGCGTATTAAATAAATAGATAAATAAATAATTTAGTGCATGTATGTTTCCCAAACTCTAACCAAGGGAAAAATAAGCACAATCTATATACCGGAAGTAGAGGTACGTGCCTAATTAAAAGGGGATCCGCAGAAATTTTTTGAACGGCGACACAACTTTTTCTCGACTTCTAGCATTTAGATCTTCCTTAATTTCAGCCTCAAACATTATATAGAACAAACTTGGCAAAGTGGGTGTTGTCTTGTAGAGCTCGCTTTGCTTAGCCAAAACCGCAAAACCAACTTGATGAACAAGAGGAATATGAGTTGTTGAGGCAGCAAGTAAAAATCGCAAGAAATTATGAGACGCGTTTCTTTGGTGCTTTTAGGAACAAGAAAAATTTGGAAGCTGATTTTCTGTATAGTGCTTATGCCATGCAAAGGAGCTTGCTATTCCTGTAAATCAAACCTTTTACCTAAAGCTTACGCTCTAAAATTAATTTGCAAACATTGGCCGGCTACGGCAACACCTTTGGGGTAACTGCAGGCTTGATCGTGAATGGCCAGGAGTTGAGAAGATTTTATTAACTCTAGCCACAACTTCGTTCGACAACCTTTTTCCAGTTTTGAAGTAAGAATTTATCAGGTTCTTCAAACGCTATGCAATGCTTCGCTTATTCTGTACCGCGGTGGAGACCATGTGTATGGTAGCGGAAAGAAGTTTATTCCAGAGTGAGGATGGAAGACGAGAGAGGCTATTGGCACATAAAGTTGCTAGATAGATGAACAAAGTGTAAGTCACTCTCTTTTTTCGAAAAAAAAAACTTCGATAGCTTTCGTTGGAATGAATTTTCCTCATTTCCCACCAAATTGCTGACTGCTGCGTGGTTTCTTGGAAAACAGTAATGAATAGTTTCTTTGATAACAGTAATGTTGAAGTTTCTGAGATGTGGTAGCAAGATACCATGCATCAATATGAAGTTTACCATAGGTGGGAGGGATGAGCTGATATGCTGATTGTGAGGTTTCTCATTCATTTATTTTTTATCTAAGAGATTGAAATTTGAAGGATGACAGTAGAGATGAGAAGATATGGCTTATGCCACAGTTGGGAAAACGAAAATGAAGCTCAGTAAAAGTAGAATGCAGAAATTGCGAGCAGAGGATGCCCATAATAAAGTGGAAATTGGTGAAAAATCCTGTAAGGCTGCCTTCTTAGAAGCTTCTCAGAAAATAGTCGACTAATACTTCACTATTAATGCGTCGTCGAGAATCCCTCAGTGAGAGATTTGCGTCTGTCACATTTCATTTGAAGCCATATGTGCACATTGAATCTGCATACTTCTGGCTTGCACAGTCTGTGACATGAAAAATTTAACCAAATTTAACCTTCGTTTTCTCATGCATCAAAAAAGTGTTGCAAAGGTATAAAACTATGGAGGTGGACTGTCTCTGTAGAACAAACCTTTGATCGAAGAATGTCTGGAGCCTCGTTGAGCTCGCCTCGCTTATGAATCCTTGCTTGATGTTGAAATGTTGAAGCTTTGGTCATGTCCAGAGTACTGTGCGATAACATGTTGTGAAAATCAGGGAGAGTGTGATCGAACCAGTCCAAACTCTTCTTTTTTATGACGCTTGTGGAAACCGGTCTTTTTAAATGACAAGAATAACACTCCTTTTCGTTCTACATTTTATTCTTGGTAATGAAGCGATATATTAACGTTATCTGGAGAATCTTCACCGTACCTCATTTTGACTTTTTATCTGCTCCAATGTCTGACAGTTACCTATTTTTACGTAATGCATATGTCACATCAACTCAATATAGTTTGGATTGAACTTCGTTATCTTCAATTGGCGGTCAAAAGTTCCTGTCCCACGCCCTTTTCTCCATCCTAACTATAAGTATTTGTTTCAACCCAAAGCGTTATTTGGCTAGCCGGATGCAAAAATGCGTACAGCTTTTCTTTTGACCGTAAAAATATAGTCCCTATTGTAAAAGTTTATTATTATATTCATATATTGTAAATCTATACTATCCATTTGCACAAATCTTAGATACAATTTGAGGTAAACTTCCCTTTAGGTAAGAGTTTCATTAGTAGTTGAAATGTTCCGTCTTCGAGCAATGCCGCAGTGAAGTATACCTGAAAAGGGAAACGATTAATGTGACACACTGCTTATGTTCGGTATAGGCTGATTTTTGGGTAGGTTGACACAGATGTTTCTGAGTTTCAATTTGAAAAATTTACAGGTTTCCTCTATCGTGACAGATTCAAATCTTCTTAAAACATGTTTGAACGGGTTTCTACTGTTCAGATGCCAACAAAAGAAAAGGGTGTTTCTTCACTATATTTTGTTAGTCGGTAAAAATATTATTAGTTGCAAAAAAACTTGAAATCGTTAGTGTCGCGGAGCATCAGCGTATAATATTGTATACGCATGGCACTTTTTGATAACTAGAAAATACGAAGAGTAATGCTCTAGAATGATGGTTCCACTTCTGCATTTAATAGGTTGTGTAATACATAAGTTCTGTCCCATTTTTCCTTTCGATTTTTTCAGAATTTTTTGATTGGTGTTTTGCAAAATGTATAGATGCATTTAAAAGCTCTAAGCCTGCTCTACCAAAATCTTCACTTCAGTTTCCTACATCAACGGAATTTAAAGAGTTTCACAACATTAAGGTTGGAAAAGCAAAGAGGAAAAAAATACATTTTCGACAACTAATTTGAAACACCCCCCCCCCCCATTTGGGTCAGAATGCTTAGAAAACAGCTCGAAAAATCTGCTGAGCGTAAGAAAAGACTACTATAGCTTTTGCAGAGGTTCAAAAGTGCAGAAGAGTTTTCAAAAAAATTTTCTGCAAGCTCAGAAAAAGTCTCTTTTCTAACACCTTTTCATAGTTAACGTAGGGCATCTGAAGGCAGTCCTGACAAAGCACGATAGATGAATAATTTAGAATAAGCAGTAGGGATGGTCTTTGGCTATAAATCACCGAAATCATAAGTTAGTTATTCAGGCCACGCAGCTTAGGTAGTGAGGCGACGAACATCGCCACAGCAAATTTTTGCTTTGCCGACTTCTGAGGGACCCGTCATAATTCGCCGAAAAAGCCCAAAAAGACCGAAGAAGCACAAAAAAGACCAAGAAAGCCTGAAAAAGCCCAAAAAAGCCTGAAAAAGCCCAAAAAAGCTCAAAGGCGCCAGAAAGAGCCGGAACGCCCCTCGCAATTTTTGGCGCAAGGGCATGCGTGTTGTGTTCGCAAGGCGGTCCTTTCACCTGATTATGCTTCAATCCTAGTTGTTCTAGTATCCAACTGTTTCCGAAACTAATGCTCCAGCGCAAAAAGTAGCACTCGTGAAGGGGCGTTCTGGCGCTTTCGGGCTTTTTTGGGCTTTTTCAGGCTTGTTTGGGCTTCTTTCGGCGAAGTATGAAGGGTCTCTGAAATAATGGCATCAATAAGTCGGCAGAAGGAAGGGAACAACACAAGCACTGATATCACAATCACGAGTGCAACAACTTGTTCTGTTTGTTGTGAAGCTTGTTGAATTGAAATTACCAATGGAAACTGGGGGAATTTTGGAGAAAAAAAAAGATGTCGAAATGGATTTTTTGCCTCTTCAGATTTCTTCCTCTGGTACCAATAATCATTTTCAATATCCTGCTGAGTTGTAAGATGGAGCATACGAGCTTGTAGAGCAGACTTGGAAGTTTTAAACGCATATAGTCAAACAGGATATATCCTCGATAAAAAATCGAAAGAAAAAATGGCACAGAACTGATTACACAACCTAATAAATGTCTGCTGTGCTCCCTATCCCGGTATGCTCCAGGGAGTCACCTATGCATAATTCTTGTTACCTACTTTTTTATAAAACAATTTTAGCTGTTACATGCCTCTGCGATTTGCCTATAATTTTGAGTGATTTTTGAGAAAGAACCAAAGAGTTTGAGTTAGCTGTCCTGCACCCAGAAATTGAAATTCATAAGCTCTTGTGTAGATTTCCAATCAGCGCAAATTATTAATGAAAGAATAGACCACTATGCTCCTGGGAGTAGCCTATTCATAGTTAGTTTTATTAACCTAACCACTGACAATTTCGGAATTTTTAGAACGTTCCAGAATCATGGCGATCTATCTGGAAGTGGTAGAGACTGCAGTGGCTTTGCTACCTCCGTAAGCTTTCATAAACTAGAAGCTTCCCCTTTTTATTGAAAGCCGAAAGACCAAGTCGTGTGAGTAGCGAAAATTCAGGAATTTGGAAAAGAAACGCTAGGATTTTTGCGAAGGCCTAGCGCTTCTTTTCTAAATTATACCTATTAGCCTAATATACCTGCGCAATAGTGAAATGATCTTTAGCAATGTACCTTTTCATCATTTTCCACACTGGAGAATAGACTCATCTTTTACCAGCATGCAAGACAATTCAAACTATGCTTATTATTTTGAAAAAAAAGAGTAAGAGTAATGACCGAGAAATTCAATATTTTCGCAAATTGTTGCCTATGACGTAGAACTATAGTGATAAAATGATAATTCACCTGTTGTATTTGCAGTAAACATTGAGTGAGTTGGCTTGTTACTCAGAGGCGTTCTAAAGACAATTATTCGTGATCCATCGCTTTCCTCACCCGATCCGTCGACGAATGTTTCGTTCGACTCAAAAATCTGTTGATTCATGGTTCAACGATAGATTCAGATTTTATAATATGTGATTCTACCGCAAATAAATCTTCGAAGTCTTCTGCCGATCCTTCATAGCTGGAGTTCGAAAATCCTGCAATTTTGTAACCTACAATTTGATCCAGAAAATGCATAAAACCGCTTAGGTTTGAGCCTAATAGATTTGACAGTAGATCTAAAGTTTCCCAGCATCGTTTGCAGGGCTCGACACGGGTTGACACCAGGGAAATTTCAAAAAGAAATTCCTTTTAATCATGAAATTTCGTACGAAGCCTCCTTTGACCCTAAACACTAAATGTAAAAACATAAAAAAAGGAAACGTCGACTGAAAAATATCGCATTTTTGTGTTTTTCGGCCACAAAAACGATATCACCTTTTCTTTTTGTCCCTAATACGATATCTAGGTTGACCCGGTGCCAGTTGTGCCGAGCTCTGAGTCGATTCTCTTCACAAACAAGGTAATTGTCGCGCAAATCTTCTCTACTAGGGGTATTGTAAATACGGTCAAATCTATAAACCTGAGTAGTTGTGCGTCGAGTTTTCGCCAGATGCATCCAGTTTTTGAGCGACGATACCTAAAAAATTTCACGTAAATGATCGAAATTGATTCAAGTTAATACTATAACAAAGTCATGCATGCAGTATGCGCACAAATAATGACCACTTTCCTTGATGACGTGACGGTTCTCAAAAATATTGTGCATATGTCACTATATCATTAGTAGCTTATTTCCTCCTCATAGTTGGAGAGGTTTGAGATTTTAGCGAATAAAGGTAAATGATTTCTTCCTACTTTCGTTGCCGCGCACTACTCCCCAAAAGCCGGCGATGATGTGGAATGATGCTTGCGATATTTGCATACCAAGGATATAACAATCCAGTTTACCTTGAACTTGGAATTGTTTTACGTTACGCTACGTCATAAACACTTTCAGGCCAAAGTCAAGAGATGCATTGGAACGAAAGAACGCCAAAAAACTGGAAACTCTCACCATTATAATAGCCATCATAGACTTCGCCAGTCTCGTTGTCGTAGATACTATTAACTGAAAATAAACAAAGTGATCTGGTTGTTAGGAAAAATGCGCTTTTAGCAATTTTCCAAACCAAAACTGAAATTTCTTGGAAAATAGAGCAGGTATAGGACATTCGAAAAATCGTACGATGACGCGATCGCGCAACAGACGTACTTCCGGCAACCGCACTTTTTGATTTTCATCCCTGCTTGAATGGTTTTTCTTTATAATTATGATAGTATCATAATTAGACATTGGGAATAACTGAGCTGGGCATTAAGGTGATGCCTTTATGAGTGTTTTATGCTCCTGTGGACGCAAAAACCGCAGTGAAATCCGTCGTCACGATTTTATGAATGGCCTATACAAGGCTGTAGACTCTAGTCGTATACCGAAGGTTGGTAGTATTTGAGAGCATATGTGGGAGAGATCTACGGTTGTTAGAGGCAGAATTCACAGCGGAGTGCCTACAAATCCAATTTTCTTCTCAGTTTGAGTCATGATAAAAACACAGCAAATGACATATGAACGCTCCTTTGGTCTACCATTCATTAGGAGGTTCGTAAATATTCGCCTCTGAGATTCCACGGGCCTCTAGATTTTTTGGATTCTGGTTCCACACTTTGAATAAATCACGATTTTATGTGAATCTCTGCTGGTAGTTTCTCCATCCTGTGCATTTTTGATGTTCACACTGCCACGGAGGCATGGAAAAGGTCTCTATTTTAGCAATAGCCTAATGGGACATTCCGGGAAATTCTTTCCTCGATAACAGCAATTATTATAGTTAAGGATGAGATCTTTGAGGAATAGACCACATATATACTATATCATAAGTCACTTGATGTTGATGACGCGATTCAAAATTTGGTGCAGCTGTATGCATACCAGCCTGGTGCTACTAACTCTTTGGCTATATCTTACCCGTGTTACCCGTGTTGCCAGTGTTATCAGACTGCTAATGTTACCCTTTTATTGCTTTAGGATAGTGAAACGATCACAAATTCAGTTGCATTCTAGAACGCAATCTCATCAACGTGAGTAACACGAGTAACATGAGTAATACTAGTAAGGCTAGGCAACATTATTAACACGGGTAACACTGGTACGGGTAACACGAGGAACACTAGTAACACTGGTAACACGGGTAAAGTACGGTCAAAGCCTAACCACAGGCCTCGCTTTCCTTCAACTACTTGAAAAGAAAAATTGTTCTTTAACGCTATCTGCTTTTTTGGCTTGAAAATAATTTCACACATTTTTGCTTAGGCTCCCGCCAGAGTGCCGAAGTTATGCCAGCGCTACGCCAGCATTTCGATTTTCGTTGGGGACGTCAGCTAGCCCCGCCCCAAGGAAATACACGTGTATCGATCGAAATGCTGGCGTAGCGCTGGCATAACTTCGGCACTCTGGCGGGAGCCTTAGGATACCCATGTTTGTGAATGAGATTCTGCCATACTCCAATGGTTTGGAAGCGACGGTCTTCTATCTATGTACTTTCTAGACGTTTAGTGGAGAACAGAGAAAAATTTTTTGGATCTTGGCCGCAAACCTGACATCGATCTAAGCGCAGGCCAGCACTCGAATTTTGCCTTCAGACTCTTTTTGTGCTAGCGTTGTAACTGTTCGACATGTCCTCATATAAATCCACGCACTCGAGCAAATTTTCGGCTACGGCAAAATTCAAAGGGAAGATTAGGGGTTAGCAGAAAAATTGTTAACTTTCAAACAAAAACATACATGAACCGCGTATTGATCTGCATTAGTGAGGGTTTAACCGCGCGAAAGCAAAAAGAAAAATTGAATTCATATCAGATTTAGAACGACGTGAAGATAAATGACCACTGCTACGCAAATTTTGCAGATGTTTTTTCGCCATTCTCGAAGAAATATAGGCAAATGGGAACCACGATGTATTAGGTTGTCTCATAGTTTTTTACCGTTTTTATTCTAGACATCAACATTTCTCGAGAACTGGGGCACCTACAAAGGGCACAAATACATGATCGCATTTCCGTAGTATGAGCTATATGACCACGTTGTGGGAGGAGCTCAGGAACTCTAGGAGGCGGAGTTCGCCATTTCACTCTATTCATTCTATTTACTTCATTCAATTTTTTCTTTATCTCAAGCCATGGAAAAATTACGAGAAGTGCGCATTTGAATGTTCGATGTGCTAAGAAAAATGGGGAATTTTAAGAATTTTTTGGGAGATAGATTCTCTAGGTAAAGTTTGTTTATGACTGCTATCATATTTCAGTTTAAAACTTTACGGGAATACGAATTGGGCAGACTATTGATAGCCAGTTCGTAGATCTTGCTTTGCTACTACACTAATACTTAAGCACATCAGCTGATGGAAAGATTCAAAAAGATAATGGTTGTAATAAAGCAGTAAAAAAAAATTATGAAAAACCTTAATATTACCGTAGCACTATGCCGCAGACATGAAATGTCTCAAATCGCCTCTAGTATGGAGAAGATTGTAGATCAAAAGATTTGGATTTTTCTTCTTCTTTGAAGATACTAATTTGACGATTTGAAAATGGAAAAATGCAAGCTTTTTTGTTGAGGCCTGCAAGTCCTTGAAGACGAGCCATCTAAGTTTCTCAGTATCTAATCTCTGAATATGTACGACTATAAGAACGGGTCATAGATCTATATTTTCTAAAAGTTGTTTGAGGTGTTCTGAGGCATTTGAGTTCAGAACGCTGAGAAGTTTTTTGTGAGGCTGCTGCAAAGTTACGCCAATTTTATTACACACTGAGGAAACTACCTTTGGAAGTCACTAAGTAAGAACTTAAACTGGTGCAAGCATCTGCGACTTATAGCCAAATACTTCTGCAGTCATCAACGCTTCTCTTTTATACAGCTTCGCCTAGCATTAATTTATCCTAATTCGAGAAGTAAGCCAATGGTGCTGAGTGCTGCTACAGACTACTGTAGCCTGCTTTGAATGGCATATGACTTCAGCGTTCTTCTGGAGTTACCGAAAAGCTGGAAAAGGCTCCGTCCTTAGGTTCTTAACAGGGTTATACGTTTTTATAATTGCGGAATTTTACATATTCATCCCGTAAATGCTTTTCCACAAACTGTTGTTGCTTGTACTTCTCCCATTTCTAAGCGGTGAATTACAGCATAGAGAGAGATCTTCGTCACCTTCCCCCCCCCCCTAAGAAATTGTCATCTATGGTCAGAAATTCTCCGTAACATTCTATGATTAGCGCTAATAAGTTCATTTTGCAGTGCTACAATATATGTCAGAAGAACTACACCACGTTGCTACAGTTGCTGAATACCGACCAGTCCATATTTTGCTCTGGTGTGTGCAACGAGATGTTTGTAAATGGTCGCGATTCGCGAACGTCCCCATTTTCCCACAGGATCAGATCTTGAATCTCTGGAAGAACAGTTTCCCGGAACGAATCCTCAGTCCCGCGAAGAAGTTTCCAAAAGGAAAGAACGTTTCGAAAAACATCTTTCTAAATTAGCTACCTTCGAAAATGGATAAATCTTTTGAGCAACCACCCAACAAAACTTCCCGACAATTTTGAGCACTCTTCACAGGAAATAAACTGTTGTTGTGGGGGAGGGGGAATCTATTCTGTGCGAATTTTTAACTTGGAGCCTGCTGCATACCACACGTCGCATTCTGGTATTATTTCAGCTGAATCGATTGGATGATTTGTTTAAAGCTTTCATATTTGCAAACGATTAACTCGTACTTTGTCGAAACTGATTAGCAAATGTCGCGTGCATTATGATTGAAAAACTTCCCACGAAGCTTGTTTGGGTGGATACAAGTGCTGTCCTATTGAAGATATTGAAAATTCATTGAACCGAAAATTGTTGCCCGCAAATCAACGTTGGCAGGGCATACTATGTTCCACATTTAAGGGGTCTCAGTTTACAAACAAGATTTCAAGCAAAAATCGGTTAAAGAAGAGCGACATGGAAATAAAGATAGCAGCGCACAGAGG